CGAAGCAACCATTGAGTAACCGCGCCTTCGCACTAACCCAATAATTTCAATCGTCAGTTAACCATTTATTATATAATCCCTACTTAATCCCTTCTAACAAAGCTCCAAAGCCATCTCGAGCCTTTGAATTTCCAGAAATCCCAGTATACTCTTGCCTCCTTAGTTCTTCAATTCTACTCCCTAATCTAAACTTTTCTCATCTTTCCCTCAAACTTTCCCAATGGTACCCAAAGTTGTTCAAACCCAACCTCTCTGCGAAATTGGTGAGAGGATTTCCATTATGCGCCCCTTGCTTAACGACCTTCATCGTCCTCGGGCATGTCTGTAGACACTTTCTTTCTTCGAGGAGGGAGGAGTACACTCCTTAAGACTTGCATGGACTTCAGTGTCATTGAGGAGTAGCCAAGCTATTTTAAACGCACCGGTAGATTCCACTTGTGAATATAAAGCTATATTATATTGAACTGATCTCCACAAGCCCAGACATCCCCATAGCTTATGCCTTTTTGATCACTTTATCATTATAGGTGTATGCTTCGAGATCAATTACCACGGCTTCTATGTCGAAGATTTTGGTAGGACTCGGGAAAGAATGCTCCACGATAGAGGCAAAGATTATGGAGGCATCCTCTAAAATTGAGAGGTTGGAAGAAAAAATCGTTAAAATTAAAGATGCACCCAGCGGGAAACCATAGCTTTCAGGCCATTTCCCGACCGTTTTCTGGCCACAGGATAGGTACAACATTCATCTCCTCCGTAGCTTCATTTTGATCTATGGCATGACGTGTAATTGTAGAGTTTTGGGTTGACCGGAGCTTGGAAGCTCTGGCATTCTTCTTCATGGAGACCTACCGACCCACGACCTTAAAACGGGTCGAGCCAGACCCATCACCCTTAGATCGCCCCAACTTGTTGGGCTATGGAACCTGGCCTTTTGGTCAGCCCAACCCCGTTTACCCTAGACCCCAAACCCTCAAGCCTAAGCCTAGTCCTAAGCTACCTAAACCCAATTGTACTCGACCCAAACCCAAAGTGGAACCAGATCCAAACCTTGGGCCATGCAACTGGCCCAAACCCATTTGAGAACCGACCCAGCTCGTTGACTCGGTAGTTGACCCAACTCGGATGAAATATTTTGTGGAATATTCTAAGGAATATTCATTCTTGTGTTGACTTTTTGTTGCCTTTTTCGAAATTTGCCCGGGATCCCTGTTAGGGTAATTCGACGTTCTGAATCCGTTTATGACGTCCATTTCTCGATTTTCTATCATTATGGTATATTTTTATTAATTGGACCCTTTATGTGCTTAGGTGCATTTATTGTGGCGTTTCCGTCGTTGCTAGTTTGCGTGGCTCTTTGACGGCGAAGTATCGGTGAGTAGACCCCTTCTAAAATGCATATTTTACTACTAGAAATGCATACATGAAAAGCATGATTTAATGGTTACATTTTATGAATAAATTGGATTTACATTTCATGATTATCATGCTTTGTTGATAATATTCTGGAATACCATGCTTTATCGATTTTACATTCTTCGTAGTATATATGATTGATGACTATATACTACGAATGTGTTTTCTGATATGATAGTTAAGCTACTAAGCTCCGTTGAGATATATATATATATATATATATATGGGAAATATATTATGTTCAATGACTTGGTGCGTACTCAGTGGTTACTATTCTGCCTACGGGGCGAATGATATTTCTATTAGCTTTGGGCTAGGCATTTATAAGTAGATGGCTTCGGGCCAGGAGATATATATATTGGCTTTAGCCGGGAGATATATTGCCTACGGACGAGTATGATACCGCTATTTAGCACACTTTATATAATACATGTTTTATGAAAGGTTTTATGGCATGCTAGGGTTTTTGGAAAACCTACTACTTATTATGCTATACTAGTTTTCATAAACTTTGGGGGTTAGTACGTTATTGAATAACTGTTTCAAGTATTTCTTATATATCAACTTGGTCCACTCATGTTTTGTTTTGCATCCCCTCAGGACTTAGAATCGAGGCGTACAATCCCGAGGTCAAGGCACTCCTGCATCAGCATCTTCGAGTCCTCTCGATGTAGGACCCATTCGTTTATTCTTTCAATTTCATATCATTTCTTTCTTAGTACTCTAGATTAGTGGTATACTCTGAACACGTTCCTCATTTTCATATTCATTATATTTAAATTCATAACTTTTATTTATGTTCATTACTTCTCATGCATGTTAGTATGACTTCTTCACCTTCGGGTGTGGGCCAGTATGTGCCTACCCTGGTGTTTGATGTATATCAGGGTCGGGCATGTCAATAAGTTAGCCATAATAATTTGATATGCATTCACAATCTACGGAAGTTAAACCTATACATCCTATGTACAACTGCGAGGAATACCACTGGACTAAGTGGCACGAATCCAAAATCTTATTAGTTTAATACTTATTTTTTGCAATGCCCCCTGAAACTCGATTTTGATCTTATTTTGCACCCTAAAACTCAAAATTCGCCACTTTACACCCAGGAACTCAATATTTGCTTGATTTTGACGAGATTTCTTTGCCACCAAAATGGTGTCGAATGTGCTGACATGTCGGTCGTTTTGTCATATTTGGCATTGTTGGACACTAAAGTTGTAGGATCATGATTTTCTAGCAACTTGGGTAGCAAGAAGGACCAAAGTGTCCATAGCCCATGAAGTTCATACAATGAGACTAGTAAGGCTTCCTAGTCAAAATGGGAGTAAGCTATCCTAACGGGCTGACTAGTTAGAGGTGTAGTTAGATAGCTATTCCGCAACATGTATTACTTGTCTTCCAAGTATGGAAATCCTAATTTAAGTTAAATTATGATATCTTGGAGATTAGGCAACGTAATCACAATCCTAGGAGGATTGGATTGGATATATTATCCTATATTCCCTCATAGATAGTCTTTCAATTTAATTGGGATTACTCTTCTTACAAGAACTTTCAAGATCTCTATAAATACCTTAATCTGATTATTTATCTCTCTAATTTGACACTCCCCATATGGTCTGATATTCTCTACAAGACTACGATACACATATTCTCTATATGTTTGGTACAATCTCACAGATCCCATATACGCCTAACAAAGACAATGGTGAGGTTGGGCTTTACCCAAAAAAGCTCTATCCAAAACACATACATGCCAAATAGAAATCAGATTGAATTTGGATTTATCTGATGAGGAGCAAGCCTAAGGTGAGCAAGAACTCAGTAAAGGAAGGGATGAAGAGGGAGCCGAACTCCCAAAAGGTTACCAACCTCAGGGTGATCAACTAGGTTTCCCTTTCGATGTAGGCACTCAAATTATGATGTCGGCTGAGATAAGATACTGCTTCTTCAGTTCCTCTAGCCACGAATGAGTTATGATGTTGGAAGTATTGTCAGCAGTATAATTCGCAACGTCTTAGTAATAAAGATTGATGGAGAAACTGACCCAATATCAGAAATAAGGACAGGGTTCCCCTGCCTATTTAGGTCCAACGCATCAGCTAGGCTAGATGACACCCCTAGATAGTAAGAGGAATCCAGAATGTTATTCCCAATCGTCTCTTCCGATGGCGCACGGTCGGAGTCATTCCTCAGGTTCTGCTCGTGAGTTTCTCCAGTAGGTTCTTCAAGAATAAGAAGGTTTTCTAATCCTAAGGGATGTTGCGCACTTAGCTGGTAAAAGAGGTTACTACCAAGTCCGACAGGCAAGTAGTCTTCGAGGGTGTTGGTTGCATCTATTAGGGCGTCAAGGTCGACATTGTCGATCCTAAACGAGTAGTCATAGTCTTACACCTCATGATCGATGTTCGTCGAATCTAGGGCAGTCGTCATCGCCTATGCTTGGTATATCTGGGAAGAGCACACCTCATCCTAATCAAGGAAAGTACCAATGTGCGAAACTAATTGGAGTAATGTCAACAAAGAAGGCTGGGGATTCTTCGAAGCAAATTCTTGATCACTAGGAAAAGCTAGGATTGGGGTGGGGGGGTGAGATTCTGTAGAGTTTTGTTTCTAGAAAAAAAGGAAAAATGATAGTAGGTTTCTTGGGAAATGGATTACATACCCTAAGCAGCCTATCATGGCCGTAAGAAAGGAAACACCAAGGTGCCAGGATCGTGACACATGGCTATGCAATTAGTTTGCTTCTCGAAACAAACAAGGAATGAAGAGACGACACGACGCATGAGGCCATGCTTACCTGCAACGCATTTAATGAAAGAATGCTCGAGATGAGCAACATATAGGATAAATTCGACCGGCCACAAGCAACTTCATGATCAAGATAAAGCCCTTGACCAAGGAGTTGAGGGACTTGTTAACACTAGGCCAATTTAGGTCCATCCAAGGACATAAGCCCAAGAGATGGCTAGGAAGCCCAAAGACTTAGGGGTTCTCAGCAGGCTCACTCGACCACTCAGGCCGACCAAGATACAACACGGACTAGTCAACTGAGAAAAGCACATGGGGACATTGACAACTTTATGGTACAGGTCTCCGTGAGCAAAAGTACTTGAATGCTAAACAACATGCATGCCACAACAAAAGCCTAGGACGCGACGTAAAGGTAGTTGGGGTAGTGCTAGGCAAGGTAACCATGATCCGAGTAGGTGAAAAGTTGTTAGTAGTCTGGTACAGTGGGATGGAACATTAAATGTTGGTTTGAGAGGTCCCAAAGGGAAGAGGCTTATATAAAGGGGTAGTGACCTCCATTATGGAGGATAGACAAATCAGAGAGAATATAGTGAATGTATTAGCTCAGCACAATATAGCCTTGGAATCAATAGATTGTGAAGGAACATAGTGGATGTAACCCATATTTGAATGGTGAACCACTTACATCTTAAAGTTATTTAAGTCCAATTCATTAGCCCACCTAAAATTATTTATTTAAGTTTGTTAACCTTACAGTTTTGAGCGTTAACAGTTAAGAATCCTAAGCACAAATTAAACTTAAATAAATAACATGAATATAAAAATTAGGTAAACAATTCTTTTTATAAGAACAAAACGAAGCAGTGTGGCAAATTAAGTTCGAGTCTTCAACAACAACGAAACAAACTTTGAATACAACGATGGACAGTAAAAAACATAGTATCAGGTACAACAGCATTGTACAGAATTCGGTTGGAAAGTAAAAACACACAACAAAAAGAAAATTGCTAAACGTCGGATAACCGTGAGTAATGCTCCCGTTATTCAGCACATATATCTTTATCCAACGAATATCAGGCGACAGTTTTGTGACTAGCATGTACAAATGCCTAGTAGCGGGAGGTTTAGTCAGGGGGTGACCTTTAGTAAAATTCTTTTTTTACTTTATTATTTTTTTTTAAGTTTTTCAAGTTTGTTTTTTTATTTTTTTGGAAAGCCTTCTAATTAGTAAGAGAGCTGAAGAACTTCATCTTTGCTTAATCCTTCCACCACATTCCGTATACGATTTGTGACTAGCAGTTCTGGATTCCTAGTTGTAATGATGATTCTGCTCCCCAGACCAAACCAGTCTTTCTCTCCAGCCAACAAAAATATTTGGTCTGATTGGTCCACGTCATCAAGAACGAGAAGAACCTTTTTATTAAGCACACAACTCTTGATCATATTCTTTCCATCGTAGACGCTCGAAACTTGCATAATATTTTCCTTCAGAATGGATGACAAAAACTTCTGTTGCAGATGAAGTAAACTCTTTGTTTTGGCAACCTCTCCAACATCTTCAAGAAAGCAGCTAACTTGAAAATTAGGGGAAATTCTGTCATAAACTAGTCGAGCAAGGGTTGTATTACCTGTCTCATGAATCCCTTGTATACCTATAAAGCGAACATCTTTTGCCTCATCATTTAAACTTAAATATACTTTCTTCAGTTTATTATCAATTCCACCTGACTTGGGCGTGGAATCTCCCTGCAGTTTGAATGTGGGGTTAACTCTCTCCCACACGTGCTGGACAATTTCTTTGATAAGGTCTGTTTCATATCTGTGACAAGGACAAAATTATCAGACAGTAATAATATGAATCTAATTTTTTTTTAGTACATCCAATATTTTTACATGAAGGGAGAGGGGTTCGGTTAAGCCACACAATAGGTAGTCTATTTGGTATCGAATTCGTCATTCAAGAGATTGGAACCTAAGACCTCTCACTTCTAAGTGAAGAGGAATATCATCAGACCGTAATACTGAGTGGTTGAATATAATTAAACATATCACAAGTAAATAGAGAAGAATTTAGTAAGGACTGTTTTATTGACACCCTATAATTTTGTTGATTGCACCTCACTTACTAAAAACATCCCATAAATGATTTTTAAAGTAAAAATTAATTTAATACAACAACTTAACTTGTCCAAACTACCATTTCACCCCACACTACCTAACAACAATATGTTCAACATCAAATAAACATCATATTCGTCGTTTTCACAAAGTAGTCTTCAATAACTCGTCTTTATCTTTAGTACAAAAAGAAATGTTTATTCTCTTCTGTACACCTAGGGTTTCGTTTTGTCTTCAAGAACTCGTCTTTTGTTTGTTTATTCCTTTCTGCACACCTAGGGTTTCGTCGATTATAGGGCTTTCAGGTTTTTTTGAATTTTGAAGTATTAGGTTTCCTAATGACCTTGAAAAAAATCAGAGAACCAAAGAGCAAGAGAGAGTAATTCTACAGTTCGAAAAAATAAAAGTAAAATAATTTCGAAGTATATGCATGTCCTACATACAAGTTCTTCATGCTGCATCATGTATTGAATATCACAATTATTTCAACATACCATATTCTTTTTGAATTGTCTATACGATAGACTTGTAGTGTGTTTAGAAAATAAAACTTTATTTAAAAAATATGCAAGGTTACCCTTTTATTTTCACTTAATTACCTGAACATTGTTTTTAGTTCGTGCCAATATACTGCTCGAATTAAATTTTGGGTTAAATTAGCACATGTCATAATATTTGTCATCAATTTGTTAAAAATAAATCAACGGGTTAATACACGATAATTAGCTAATTGGTACACGAGTACTAGGTGGATTGGTTGTTTTCACTACTTTTAGGCGAAAATGTTCTTTAAAAGTGGTCACATGACTCTTAAAAAAAAATGGTGAGAGATTTGACAGTTGTGGTATTTTGATATAAAAATTAGGAACCAAAAACAAAAGAAAAAGTCATGTGGTCAAGTGAAAAAACAAACCGAATCGTTTATTTTTTAAGTTGCATTTAATAGATTATTTTTGTAAAATATTACTCAAATTGGAACTGTTTCAAGCATCTAATTGAGTTAAAAAAAATTGACGAATATTATGTTCTAAGGAACATTAAAATTTTATCATGACAATTAAATGAGCAAATGATTTCCAATTGAATTGATTTTTTCCAAGGATGATCTACAAATACAGACCTAAAAAATATACCAACTCAGATAGTTAAAGTTCGAAGTGGTATGGGTACCACAACTAATCCCCACTTTCTTTTTCAAAATTAGGAATCTCTTCCCTTAAACACCTTGATTGTTTAAATATAGTCAATATAAAGTTTTTATTTATTTATATTAAGGGTAATGTTAGGGAGGATAACATCATAAACTAAATTGACAAACTATGTGTTGTCAATAGGAATTAAGTACGTTAATCAACACTTGAGTGATAATTCAATCATCAACAACTACATAATTTAGTTCACAAAATTTAGTTACAAATTTAATCACCATAGCATTATGTATTAAATTAGAGCAATAACATTAGTGGGTTAAAAGTTAATTATTAGAAAATAAAGTAATTAGTGGGAATCAAATTCGCACAATAGACATGAATTCTTCCACTATTGCAATAAAATGACATATGTGCCAATATAAATTTGTGCATGGTAGAACTAAAATGCAACATTAATTTAAATAGAATTTGATTTTCCCTTGATCTATTCAAATTAAAAGGGGTGAATATAAAAATAGAAAAGAGGAGCATCAAATTCATTTTCTTTCAAGAATTTACCTGTCCTCCTTTAACGGCCACCCGGCGAGTTTACCCACTTCTCCTAAAGCATCTTTCCACAGGCGCACATTCTTGCTCTCTTTCCCGAACGTTTTTTCATGGTCGGTGAAGGCTTTGGCAAAAGTCGCTCTTATATGTCGTACATCAGAGGGATCCACATGAAAAAAAATTGGCAAAATTGTTGTCCCTTTCTCTTTCGTGCATTTAACAATATGTGCAAGTTCGGACAAGCACCAGGTGGAAGTAGCATACTCTTTCGAAAGGACAACGATTGCAAACCTCGATTCTTCAATTGCCTTCATGAGTTCTGGATTAATATTTGTCCCTTTTTCAAGCTTTGGGTCGTCCCTGAAAGTTTTGACGTTTTTGTCCTGCAATTTTTCATACATATAGGCTGTAAAACTTGTGCGGGTGTCTACGCCCCTGAAACTCAAGAACACGTCGTACTTCCATTGACAAGTTGTGTTGCTGCCGGATGCCATTAGAAAGTCGCTTCAATCGAATAATCACTGCGAGAAATTTATTTGCAAGTTGGTAATTGTATCTCCAAACTGATGAGTTATAAAGGAATACAAAACAGGTGGTATAAATATATGCACGGCACCAAGGGAGGTGAAAGGACTGAAGGAAACTAGAGTGCAGAGGGAAGAAAAACTTGGTCTGTGCGCGTGTTAGGTGAAACTGAAAATTCGTAGAAAGAGAGCTGATGACTTTTCGTGAAAGAGATACTTCTGACTTTGGGGAAAGCGATTGAACTGGGAAACGCATAGTGGATACTAGAAATATGGCCTACACGTTGTTGAGAGATTAAAAACCGTATGAAAAAAAAAAAAAAAAACTGTTTTTGTTGAAAAGTCTCATGGGCAATGAATGCCCACAGTTTCATTTGTGAAAGTCTTCTGCATGGGCAAAGTTTTCAATGCCCATGCAAAGTGAAAGAGATTGTATAGTCAGACGAAATTTCATAAATTTCAAGATGCATTAACTGCATCAGTTTGGAGTTGCTCTATAAATAGAGCACTCCGCATGTTTTCATAGAACAGAAAATATAAGAAGAAGAAAACAAGAGAGAAATATCAGTAACAGCATCTATTCCTCTGCCTTTTATTTGTTATCCTCTTGTGCTATAAGTTTTAGTGTGGCATTTTACATCTACCTTGCACCTACTACTAAAAAGGTTATTCTCTCAAACTTTAACCATTTTATAACACGTTATCAGCACGAGTCTCTAAATATAATTATTCTCTCATCTCTCTTCGCCGAACGAACGAAAGAAAGAAAAAAATGTTTCCTTTAAGGTTTTTACTGTTCATCTTCTTCCTCTACCTCAACTGCGCCGTGTACCCTCGCGACGAGTTGTTTGCTTCATGCCTGCTCTTAGTTCTCCAACTAACGGTTACATACATCTTTGATTACTTGTTTGGTGTAGAGATTGATTACTAACCCAGTATTTATTTATGTTAATTCTACTGCAATCCAAGATGGTGCGGTACAATCGCCCATCTTGAATTGCAAATTTATTCTTACTGCCATCCAAGACGGTGCGGTATCATCGCCTATCTTGTACTGCAGATTTAATTTTACTGCAATTTTTAGGTGGAGCGGTATAATCGCACACCCTACCCTGCATATTCGAATTTACCTGCTGTTTAATTTCATTGCAATTTTATGTGGTGCGGTATAATCGCCCACGTGATGCGAGATTTATGCGCACAAATTAAACCCTCTTTTTGACAATTGTAGTATAAGTATAAGTAGGGATCGTTCTGGACCGGGGATTAGGAGGGATTGTTAATCACTTGGATTTTTGACTCAAAAACGTAAAAACAATATAAAACACTAAACTAAATTGATTTCTAACTAATTTGACAATAAAGTAAAGGGGGGATTGTGTTTGGACAATATTAAATTAAATGGACAAATTGTAATTAAAGGCAAAACGTAAATATGAATGAGATGAAAATATGGATAATGGAATAGCCAAGGGGTTCATCTCCACACATGTTATACTTGCATATAAAATTGATTCTCAGTTGGTCTTTCGATAAATTATGAAACTCGACACTCCAAGTTAATTAGGTCCGCTTAAATTAACCTTCAAATTTCCCTAGAATCATTGAATTGGATGAATATGCATCGCAAACAAATTATTCCTAACAAGTTCTCTATATGAACAGCATGATAAAGATACAAGTTAGAATCATTACGTTCTTTGGAAATTATAAGCATCGACAAGGCATTTGTAACTATGAAAAGCATGATACTCTTGCCAGGAATTCAATTAACGCGATTGTTTATAAGCAACCTCCACTACTTGTGAATATAAGTTCATAACTATTAGGTGAAATTCACTTATATTCTAGCGTCATATTTATGCATGAAAATTAAGCGCGCATTCTTAATAAATATTCATAAATAAGTTATCAATCAAGCAGTTAAACAAATTGAATCCACAACTTATGAAATTCCAACCAAATATAATCAATTCATATTGCAAGTATAACCATGGTTTCGAATCACCCCCTAGCTAACTAGGGGGATTTAGCCTCTCATGTTCGCAACAAGAAAAATAAAATTGAATTTAAACATAAAGAACAAAGGATGGATTACACCTAGAACGCCCAACGAATCCACGTGAATTGGTACGCGTCGAAGCTCCTCTTTCCTCTTCTCCTTCTGCGGCAGTGAGGTTAAATGGATGATTTGGATGTTATTTTGGGTTGGGGATGGATTTATGGAGGTTTAATGGCACGGCAATGGAGAGGAATTATGGGGGAAAGTGTGTAAGGTGGCTGCGGGAATGGATGAATGATTGCGGCCAGATTGGAATAATGTTAGGTTTTTTTTTTATGTTATGCACGGCTGATGGCAAGGAAATTATGGGATATGGCACGGCTTTCCATCATGGGAATTGGCTACGGGATGGGAATTGAATGTGAGAATCCTCGGATTAATGGGGAATTGGCTGCATATATATGATTATTCAAGTGCTACACGGTTTTTTGAAGGATTTTATAATGGGAAGTGGACAATTAGGTGGAATGGTGGATGAATCATTAGGGTTAGTGGAATGGCAATGCACGGATTGATTTCTTTTTTGGTTTATTAGGGTTAATGGCTGATTTGTTATAGGTTAGTGGAATGCATGGTTTTGGGTGGGATAATAAAGGGAAGTGCGGCAATATGGTGAATTAGGTTATGGTGGTGGAATTAATGGGGTTAGTGGAATGTGGATGATTAAAAATGGAATAATGGGCTATGGATGCTTAGTGTTATGGAGTTAGAATACACGGTTTAGGGTATATAAATGGGATAATTAGGTTGTAATAAAAAATGGGATATGGTGGCTGCAAAATATTGAAATGGGAAAAAGAGTGAATGCGGATTAGATTAGGGTGAATGGTTGATGGGTGCGGCTTCAACTTATTCATTCCTCTTTCGCTCCAAAAAGCTCCACTTTGCATCTTCTTGCACACTTTGGCCTTATAATCTGAAAATACACAAAAGTGGCCTTAAACACTGAAATAGATAAGTAAACACAACATAAATGCACGAGAACAAGCTAATTAAGTCGCATGAATATGCTCCTATCACCACGCTGCTCTGCATATTTAATTTTCCTGTTACTTGAGTGGTGCGGAATAATCGCCCATTCTATATTACATTATTTCAATGAGAATGGTGCGGTACGATCGCCCTTCTCATTCACCCTGAAAATCTCGAGCAAGAAGTTTCGACTGCTTATCATTTTGGCCTGAAGATCAAAATGAAAAATTTGTAAGAACCAGAAGTTCTAACATCATATTCCTCCAGGAATACATATTATTGCAAGTTCTTACACATCTCATTTTCTTTCAGAAAAGAAAATGGCGAACTTGGCGAAGCTTGAATTTGCTGCCCTGGATATTACTGGGAAGAATTACTTGACCTGGGTACTGGATACCAAGATCCATCTGGAAGCAGGGAATCTTGGAGATACCATCAGGGAAGAGAGCAACTCATCCTCTCAAGTTCGGGCAAAGGCCATGATTTTCATTCGCCGCCATCTTGATGAGGCGCTAAAGAGTGAGTACTTAACGGTTGAAGATCCGTTAGCTCTCTGGAATGCCTTGAGAAACTGATACAATCACCAGACAACGGTGATTCTTCCAAGGGCCCGCTATGAGTGGACTCATCTGAGGATTCAAGACTTCAAGTCAGTGGCAGAATACAATTCTGCATTGTTCAGAATTACCTCTCAGATGAAGCTCTGTGGGGATATTATTACTGAGGAGCATATGCTGGAAAAGACTCTCAACACATTTCATGCCTCCAACGTGCTCCTGCAGCAGCAGTATAGAGCGCGAGGCTACACTGAGTACAACCAGCTGATATCTGTGCTCTTAATAGCTGAACAGAATGATGAGCTCCTAATGAAAAACCATCATTCCCGACCTACTGGATCTGCACCATTCCCAGAAGTGAATGCTGCTTCTCTCGAAGTGAACTCCACATCCTCTGGTGGTGATAATCATAAACGAGGATGTGGCCACAAGCGAGGTGGATGGAATAGGAAAGGCAAGGACCATGGAGTTCAGTTTCATAACCAGGTTCCCAGGAATAATTCAGGCCCGAGCTTCAAAAATGCGAATCGCCACAAAGGCAAAGCTCATATAAACAATGCTCCTAGAAACTCTGAAGGAGCCTAACATAGGTGTGGTGGCAATGGGCATTGGGCGCGTACTTGTCGTACCCCAAAACATCTAGTGGATCTGTATCAAGCCTCCCTCAAGGAGAAGGGTGTCGAGACCAACTTTCTCGACCAGGCTAGACCAATGGATATACCTGATCCAGTGTTTGACTTATCAGGGCAGTTGAACACAACTCATCTAGATGTTTCAGACTATATTGTGGAAAGGGGAAATGAAGTATACCGGTCCGATTGAATCATTAATGTACTTTTATTATGCTGAACTTGTAGTATTTTCAGATTCAATAAAAGTGGCATGTAAATTTCTTGTTATAACTTGCTTTTAACTCTGATTCTCTTACTTAGAGAGCATGGATAAAAATTGTGGTTATTCTCAGAACATGAGAAATGGCGGAGATATTTGTCTTACAGACAGTGCAACCATACATACAATACTTCGTGATCGAAAGTATTTCTCAAGCTTAAGACTTACAAGAGTAGGGGTAACAACAATATCAGGACCTTCAGATGTAATTCAAGGTTCAGGGCAAGCCCAGATTATGTTACCAAATGGAACAATATTGTCCATACAGAATGCATTGTATGCTACTCGATCTACTCGAAATTTGTTGAGTTTCAAAGACATACGTCTAAATGGATACCACATTGAAACAAAAAGTGCAGAAAATGTGGAGTATCTATGCATTACCTCCAATGATACCCAGAAGCGTATATTGGAGAAGTTGCGTGGTATGTCGAGTGGATTATATTATACATACATAAGGACAATTGAATCACATACTGTCATGAACC